AACGCTGGCAATGCCACTGGCTTGCAGTTGCACAAGCTGATTCTGATTGCTCGTAGTTTTGCCAAGGCCAGAACGCGTGCGAGTAAGCAATGCTACATTGCGCCGGCCGCCTAAGGTTCCCAAGGCTCATGGAATTGACTTTGGAGTTTGGCGTCATGGAGGGCTTCATCCGATTCGTGCCGCTTGTCATGCGCTTCACGTGAAACACTTGGCTTCAGAATTTTGAGCATCCGCTGGCGGCGAGTTGGCCCAGGCCCTCGATTCCAGGTGCGGTCCTGGTGCCGGAGCCTCAGTGCCGAGATAGTGTGCAGAGGATGTGAGAGATGCCAAGCAAGATGTTTTTGGAAGATGCCCCTTGTTGCGTTGTTTTGAAGGTTGCTTAAAGGGAGACGCTGTGCTCCGTGTCGAGGGGGTGGATGGGTGGGTAGAGACACACCCAGATGAGGTTCACATTCATGAACAAGTCCATCGCTGAAGCCGTGGGATCCACCATGCAGACGGGCGTCGCAAACTACATTGCTACCGGGCGTCCCACCGCAAATGATCACTATGGCTGGAGACACTCGGCAAGATGTAAACTAGAAATTTGTTTTTGCACATTGATTCCTGTTCGGGGTTGTGTGCAAATATGCCGAGGAGATTGCTATTTCTTTTACAGAGCCACTTGGCATCAAGCTTGCGATGCGCAAATGGAGGCGTCCCAATTGAGCGCATGTCGGTGGAGCTTTGTTGAGTTGAGGAAAGCCACTACTACCCGGCTTTGCGCATTCTGGTCCTCTACGGTGTCTATAGGCGCCTGTTGCTTTCTTTTCATGGGGGGGAGCTGCTGCGTCGGGTATGGTGCAATCACCTTCATTTGAATTCTCAGAGGCTTCTTGCGCAGAGTTTCGATGTGGCGGCCCTGCCCATGATGATTCTGCTTGCAACAGCCTCGGCTGCTTGCCAGCACTTTCCTCTTTTTGGTTGCCTCGCTGTGATGTAGGTGGGGTGGTCGAGGATTCAAAGCTGCCAATTGCCATCTCTGTGCGCATGTGAGGTTTGGATTGTCGGCCCCATTTTGTTCTGCCCACAGCCCACGTTGTGGTCAATCCGTGCCACGCTCAGTCATGTCTCGGGAGCGGCACTGGTGTTTTGCGCCTCTCATGGTGCCTTCGACCGGCTGTCACAGGCGATGACTTGTCAGAGTTCTGGTGCTTCGTGATTGGTGCATCGAGTCCGGAGCGCAGCCCTGGCAGCATCTTTTCGCGTGTTGAGATTTCGTGTCTGAATTGGCCGCTGAAGCGGCCAAGGCACGCTGAACCTGAAAGCTGTGAACTTGGAAGAGAAGCTGGCTGCCAAGAAGGAGGACCCGATGGCAAACCTGTATGATGTCACTTGGCCGTCCCACCTGTGGGCAAATCTTGCACACTTATGCGGCTTCACGCTCACTAAAACAACTATCTAGGCACCTTTCCATGCTTGCCACCGCTGCACTCGTCGTTTTTTTATTTTATTTTCGGCCCACCCATCGACTATGTGGATAGCTGTATGTTGCAAGGTCTGGCTCTTCGACAAGCTGAAGCACAAGCGAGCTCCACCACTAGCTCGTCTTTTTGAGATCTTTACAGCTCTCTACTTTTTTGCGGTCATGGTCTTTGCGGCCTTTCTGCAATTTAGACGGGCATCGCTGTTTCCAACGTGCAGGAGTCCCATCGGGCTGCACGTGTTTTTTTTTGGTAGGCACCAGCTTTCACTTCCTTCTTGGATTGAGGTGGTCTTTGGAACTATGGTGGACCAGATCCGCTCTGTGGTGCTTCTCATCCTGGTGAACTACTTCATTCTGGCCCTCTGGCGCGTCTTTGGCCGCCCGACCATCCTAATGATTCTCAGCTGGGTCAGTTGGTGGGTCGTGGCCGCTCATGGCCAACAGCGTGCGCAAACCTTGAACAATCCTTGTGTTGCCGATGGGCGTTGGAGCGCTTCGAGCCGAGGATGCTCTCCGGCGTCTTCTGGATCTGTGCCGTGCCAGTGGTGCTGAACAGTCAGTCGTTAGGAGGAGACCTGCAAGCATGTGAGGCCTTGATAGGCCTTCATAGCACAATGTCGAGTCCAGATTCGCATTGGGTTGGTAGGTGTCAACTTCGATGAGTTTGGCCAAACCTGCCCTCACTTGAAGAAATCAAGCCGCAGGTGTGCGTGTTGAATTGGGCCCCCTGATTCGGAAGGACAGTATGGTACGCTTCTCGTGGCCTTCATTCTCACCTTTCAAGCCTTGAGCGTCATTGAGAAGGCCTGGCTTTCGTTCGGGCAATTCTGCTGCCCTTCTCTTTTGCAGGAGTTCTAGTTTGCAAGTCCGCTTTTTCGGTGGTTTAAGCGCCTTTCTGGGAGACATATAAAGAACGGCGGCTTTGCGGCCAGACGTTGCTTCTGATTGCCTGGGCGGTGTTGCGCCCCGATCCGGACTGCGCGAGCATGCCGGAGACCACCTTCGAGGAGCTGCACCAGAGGCCAAGCAGCAAATCTGCCGTCGCCGGGTCAACCCCCCCCGAAAAAAAAACCTCGAAATGCGTGGGGCTCACAGAGGGCCTGCCTCCCTGATAGCATGTCAAACAAAAAAGAAACACACACACACAACTATCGAGCGCCCCGAAACTTGTGATGTTTTCCAATTGGGCTTCCCTTTGGAACCACTCCAAAAGGCAGTTTCAGAAAGAGGTCCACCCAAAAAGGTTGGCTTCCTTTGGGTTTCTCTTTGAAAATGGGGATCACGCGAAAGTGAAGCTGCTTGGGGCCAGTGCTTCAGTGATTTGAGCATCGGGCGCCAACCCAGGAAGCGAGAGGCTGCCAGAAAAGTTCACAAATATGCCGCTGGGATGCATGAGCCACACTTGATTTAGGGCCATGAGTGCGCAACTTCAAAGGATGCGATCGTCGAATATTTTTACTTGAACTTCATGTCGTACCAGTGGCACCTCTACGTGTCGATCATGCTGCTGGCAGTGAACCTTGGGGCTCAGCTGTGCGTTGCCATCTTAGAGATGCCTCCTGACTGCACGACTCCACTCTGTTCTTGGCGCTCATGTTGGACGCGGATTTGTGTTTTGTGCATTTTAGCGATTGATTGACCAATTTTTGTTTACTGGTGGTTTCGTCATGGGGCACTTGCTGTATCACCTTCGCATGCTCGACACGTGCACTGCGATGAGGCTTGGCGGCCTGCAATCCTGGTGGCTGCTGAGTGGCAAACTCAAGGGAGGTTGCTTCCGCGTGCACAGGCTGGGCAGCGCTGGTGGGCATGCGGCAAGGCAAAGTGATGTGCATGAGTTGTACGAGAGGCCGGAGTACAAGCCGCCGGGCAGCGATCATGACGCTCCATCCGAGCGAAAGCGGCAGTGCCTTGGCAGAGCCTGGCGGCCCTAGCGGAGGCAGTTGTTGCAAGACTGAGTTGTTTGGGCTCCCTTAGTCTGCATGCGTGCCTTGAGAGCTTTGTGTTGTGAGAAGGTGAATAGGTGCTCAATGGATCCTGAATGGTGATTGTAGTGAGATGCACGTTTGCTTGCAATTGTTTGAGTGGGTTGGCCTCAAACCAGAATTCACGCCGTGCATCAAAGCAGCAGCCGGTCTTTTTTTTTCTTTCTTGCGGGTACATGTGTGGAAAGGCCTTCGAGTCTCCACGTCAAATTCGACTTCCCTTTTTCAGGGGGCACAGCGGGTCCAATGCACACCTCAGACAAGGCATATGCGGCTCGCCTGTGTTTCCAAGACGGATGCACCAGCAAAAGTAAGGGTGCTTATTCGCAAGGTGCTGGATATGAAGCTCACTTGTGTGTGTTCTGCAGTTATCATACATAATTTCAATGAACTGTGGAGATAGTTTCCACTTGGGTGCGCAAGTCCCGTTCTGTAGCTTCCGCTCTTGTTGAGGCATGGTTGGCGTACTTTCAAGGCGTGTGGTTGTTTATTCATCATGCACGTTCATGCACTTGCGCCTTGCTTTGCACACCTTAGGATTGTTTTGTGCGCTTTTTTACCAAAACGCGCATGCGCTTTTGATGCACTTGTTAAAGGCGCTGCTCACGTTCGCCCGCAAGGCTTTCAGCTGGGGCGCCGAGCGCCATCTCAGAAGGTATCAGGAGCCGCTTGGGCGCTGGGACCGCCTGAGAGGTGTGCAGCCGGCGAGGTTTGGATTGGGGTGATTCGCTGCATCGAACCCGTGCCAGGCAGTTTGGACATTAGATGACATCGGATGACGCGGTTTGCACCCGACGGCTTTTTTTTTGCAAGCCCAAGGCCCAAGGCCTGGGCACGCAGTGCCACAGAGCCAAAGGCCGAGAGGCCCCATGCGATGGCATGGGGCTTCAAGCCCGTGCCAAGCTGAGACGCTGCGATCATCGCAGAAGTTTCAATTGAGACCTTGGTTTGGAAGCCGAGATCACCCTGAGTTTTTGTCCGCAGCTGAGCACGTGGGCACTGCTCCTTGTGACTCCGGCCTTTGGCAACGTGGCTCCAAGAACATAGCGCACTTCAGCCCTGAAGACAGCGTGTTGAGGTGCAGAGCACCTGCCCACCTTAAATTTAGATGGGGTTATTTGAATGTTCCAGCTTGCAGCGTTGCAGCACTTCAACATACCACATGTTGAGCATGGGGCATTTTCTCTAGCACATGAGCCTGCTCTCGCCACTTGGTCGGGGCAGTGCGTGTTTGACCAGTTTGTTTTTCTCCCCGTCCGTCCGTCCAGTCAGAGGACAGGTTGGAAATCGAGGTGGCTTGAGCACCCACGGATGCGGTGGGTGGCAGGGCAGGTGCTGAATGAATCCTGGTTATGGCAATCAAGCCACTGCACGGCACAGTCAGTTCTCGGTTAAAAAAGGCGCCGATGCGTCAGCGGACCAATGAAAGGAGAGCTCCAGCACTGCAGCGACGTAGAAGCAGCTCCCGTTGAACATGCCAGGGTTCAGTCAGAAACGGTTGGTTGCTTGGCTTGGCCTTGCTCTGTCATGACGGCTTTGTGGTTTCACAGGACTTCCTCGTCCATTTCGATGAGTACAAGGCTTTGCAGTGTTTGGGTGCGTGCCGAGAAAATAAGGACATAGGTGCATGTGCACACACACACGCACGTCAAAATGCGCCATAGTCAAAGAGGCTTTTGTGTTGGGGTTGGTAGGGATGGTCTGGACTCCCGAAAATCTAGGAAGTCATGAAAAGGGTTCCCTTTGACGAAGCATGCCCACGGTCCACGCATGGGACGTGTGGATGGATAAGGATGATGTATGGAGAGTGTTGCGTTCAGCATGGGATACAGTGCGTAGTGCTGGTCAGGCCAATTTGGCCCAGTTACGGCGGGGCCGCAACGTGGGCAACGGCCGGTGCATTCCAACCCTGGCCAGGGCCTCAAACAGATGGACTGCTGGCTTCTTCGTTTGCCGGCAGGGATTGCATGAAACCATACCTCCATTCACGAAGCGGGGCCCTTCTCACACAAGCCTTAAGTCACGTCACGTCCACCGCAGCCGAAGCAACAGACGGGGTGAAGCACTTCCACTCAGCCTGAGACGAGGGGATAAAACCGGCGAACCACGGGCGACGAAGGAGCTTGACGGATGTCATGGTTGTCCAGCGGCCAGCACTACCAATGGCACACTGGACCCAGTGCCAGCGAATGATTCCAGAACAAAGCTCCAACACTTGCGAAGAAGAAAACATTGGTGCATTCCAAGCAGTAGCCCGACCAGTGTGCTGGCGGTCTTCATTTGCAAGACAACTTTTGCCATGGCAAACCCGAAGGTTGTTGTGGCGCGCCGCCCAGCTTCGGGCAAGCCCTCGCGGACTGCCGTACATCGAAGCCCGCGAGCAAACCCCAAGAGGCAACTTGGAAGGGCTGCCCCTTATTCTGGGCAGTGTGGGGGTGTCTGATGTCATTCCCACCAGAAACTGCTGTTAACCGATTCCCCAACTTTACTTGCTCAATATGCCGATTAGCTGCTTGAAACATGCAAGCTCATGTGATCAAACAGAGTCTGACGAAAGATGTGGCTGCCATGATATAAGCGCGTCGCACTCCAGAGACCCCGAGTCATCCTGAAAGTGGGCCGTGAGCGACAGCCAACATGGTAGCGTCCACCACCTAACGATAAATAGGCAGAAGTCCATTAAATGTTTCTGTTGGATTCGGGGCGGCCTCTGCGTTTTGCAGAGGTGGACACCCAAAACGTGTGGCCAACCGTGGAGCGGATTGCTGCAGCTGGCTACCAATTGACACGGTCCAGGGCTGAGCTTTTGCATGGCGGTCTTCTTGCTTGCTTTGTGCGCCTGCCATATTCGCCATGCTTGCTCATGCTACGCCAGTTTATGCGTCATTGGTGTGAGTGATGGCGGGCAATTTGCTTGCTTTGTAGCTTGCTTCAATTGTGGGAGCGGGGGTCGGGAAGGCCGGTAGGCGAGGAGGTTGCTCAATTCTCTTGCTCTTGATGTCTGAGCTTGGGGTGGGACATGCATGTGCAAGCTCGTTTGAACTCTGTTTTTCAATATTGCTAAGTTCTGTTGGGGTGGCTCGACAAATTGTGGCTAGAACGCAGGGGTTGCTTGCGCAGGATATTGCCCGGTGAAGGCCCCATCCAAAGTTGGCTTGCTGATGTTGCGTGGGGTCGAATCGGACGTTTTTTGGGGCCTGGGGGCCTTGCCCCAAACAAATTGAAATAGCTTTGTTGGTAGGCGGTACGTCAACGTGGGAGCCCACGACGGTCAGCGAGAGGCTCAGACAGGCTGGGCTCGGCCCACCACGTTGCTGGGCATGCGGGGGGGATCTCAACATCAGCTGTGAGTTCCGATGATCCGCTCTATGACTACGCCCGCTACGAACTCGGGTGCTTTTGCCCTCTCTTGGTGCAGTTATGACCTGTTGTCAAATTTCAACTGATCTCAATCTGCAGATGGTGCTTGCTCGATTTGTTCTTCATGGCCCATTGCTATTGTGGATGTTTCACCCAGGCTTCAGCAATGCCACTGGTGTAGCTGTCGAGAGAGACGCTGAGAGATGCGCGCGCAGGGCGCTTGGCGGGCGCCAAGCGCACTAGCAGATTCAACGTCACCATTGTCCAGCATTGTGGTGAATGGGGGCATGCGTTCCAGCAGCCCATGCAGACCGATGCACAACCATGTCTGCAGGCCATAGGGAGGTGCTGCCGAACGTGGGCGTGGCTTGCTCTGAGGCCTGGTGCCATGGGTCGGCTGGGGCTATGGAGCCAATGCATGAATGTGTATGTGTCTCTGTGTGTGTGTGGGTGGCAGAAACATGAAGGCGTTTGCAAATGGCGCAGCCCGCAGGTCACTCCTCAAAACATTCTTGAACTGATTCATCCGGCGCCTGGGCCTCACCAGCACGATAGGAGCAGTGCGGAGCTGGATGCTTGTGTAGGTTGGATGGGTCAGACCTTGACGTGCTGAAGGCCCGAGATCTGCCACACTCGCACACACACACACATGGATCTCACATGTAGTGCAAACAAGGGACTCTGCCTTGAAATAATGTTGGCTCAACAGGTTGACATTGACTCCTATGACTGCCCCGTGCTGGAGATGATTTTGCCCGGGGCTGGTGGGAAGCTCTTGGGCGATCGCAAAGAGAGGAAGCAGCAATGAGGCCCCAAGTCAACGCCAAGATTGTACTTGTGGAGGCTTGCTGTGCGCAAGCGGGTGGCGGGATCACATGGGCAACCAGTCACGCTCAAGCGTCTCACAGAGCGAGCGCAGCATGAAAGAATGTAGCGACAGCAAATCTGTGTGTCCTAAGTAATGTCCTCCCGTTTGCATAGGGGTCTGCTAATTTTCCGCCGACTATTGGGTGCAGCTTTTTGCATCACTGGCACCCCCCCCCAACAAAAGCAGAGGGCCGATCAGTTCTATCGATTGCCAATCATGGGCTCGGCTATCAGGCCAATCCATCCATCCCACCGCCGTACCAGCGGGGAGCCTCGAGCATCTGCATTCCAGATCATTCCAGGGCCCGGACATTGGCGAGTCGGCAGCGAGTGCTAAGGTGGTCCATGCTCCACCACCCGCAGCCGGGCACTCGATGCCTGCCCGAATGTTGCCATTGTTTCCATGCTTAGTTGCAGGCTGTGGAGTTTCTTTAACTCCTTCCACAGTCCCGAGGAGGCGGCCTGTGAACGGGTGCCAAAATCGAGGGTCTGGACCCCCATCCCCGAGGCTTCTCCAGGGGACCATGCCTTCTCAATTCTTGGAACCGCTCTAAAGGGCGCTACACCCAGACATAAATTTACTTGATGATTGCTTTCCCAGCTGTCCCCCCCTCACACGAAGGTTCAACGCGCTGAGTACTCTTTCTCTTTAGGCGCTGTTTCACAAGCAATCTGGGCCCTGGGACTGGAAATGGAACCCTGTTTTTTTCCCTGTGGTCAAAAACCAGCTAGGATCCCCAAGAAATCAAACAGGGGATCCGATCAGGGCGAGGCAGAACCGGCTTGGGGGAACCGCCCGGGAAAAAAAAAAAAAAAAAAAAAAAAACTGAGAAGGCACGATACCCCGGGGAAAAGCCGATGTGCGTTTTTACTGTAAGGTACCTCATTTTTGGCCATAGGCTTTTCCCAAGTGGACAGTGCCTTCTCAACTTTTATTTTTTTTGAAAAATAAAAATAAAAATGAGCGAGCACGCAGAGGTTGGGGGAGCACGCAAACCCGGAGAAGGCCCGCAAAACCGGAGAAGGCCCGCAAAACCGGAGAAGGCCCGCAAAATCCGGAGAAGGCCCGGAAAAAAATATGAGTCTGTTTTGTTTGGAGATGTGTGACGTGCAAATCCGCATCCATGGCTGCTGGTGATGCCTGTGCTGCTGCTGATGCTGGTTATGCCTTTGATGCTGGTGATGCCTCTGAACTGGTAATGCCTAAAAGTATCAGGCCAGAGCCAAGGCTGACAAACCAACATGCCATCCCTTGAGAAGGCACGCTTATCTGGGGGAACCCGCAAAATCCAGAGGACGCGTGTCCAGACTTCCGACAAAACAGCGTTTGGAAGCCCCAGGTGACATCAGGGAAGCCCCTGAAAATGGTTGGACAGAAAGCTCATGTACATCATGTCCACAAAGGAGTCCCCAAGTAAAATTCCGGTGCTGGTCCGAGAGCAGGTGCCCATCCGTGGGTGCTCGCTAGCCTACGAGGTCCAGCTGCCGTGGCCTTGGGGCGGTACTCCAAAGTCGGTTTGGCCCCTCTCAGATGGTGAAGGGTTTGGAGTGAGGGCCTTGGCACACCTCTTCTTCAAAGGCCCCTCATTTGTGTCTGCGGATTTTGAGGACTGTGCCTGCGGGAATCGGGTCGTTTGTGCCTGCATGTGCATGCAGACAACCCTTGGTCCTTGACCACCAACACGTTTTGAATTGTCAAGTCTTTAGCACGGGCCAAGTGCGATGCACAGCCACTTCCCAACTCAACCGTGGTCAATCTCATTAGCGTTTGGTTCGCCAAGTTGGTCCGAAAAACGGAAAGGCTATCGATTGTACGCGCACGTTGGGATCATCACGTGGTCTTGCCGCTCCATGTTGGTTCCTTTGTTCCCTTTGAACTTCAAAAGGGATTCCCGGCTTTGTATCCTTCAAGGGCTTGGGTTTGGTCACCGCGGGGGCAGCTGGGAAGGGCCGGGGTACCAGCCACCGGTGTGTCAATGTCTGGTTATGAATGAGCTAGGCTTCGACGCCACGGCTATGATCTGGTGGCGTCACGCTCCCAGGTTGATATTGTAGAGCCATCTGAGAGTTTCTTAGGGATGCACACAATTGGTTGCTCTGCAGTCGAAGTAATGCTTGGATGAAATCCCCTCAGGTTTGGCGGGCATGATGCTGTCTTCACTCACGAGTCGGCGCGGAGCTCATAGTGGGACAAGCCATGTGAGGTGCAATGTTTGATACTGTCAGTTTTCGATACTTGTGGCACAGGCGTCCATGGACAAAGCAGGCTGTCAAGCCAACAGGACACGGGAAGCAACATCCCCCGAAGGTGCGGAGTGCCTTCTTGCCTTATGAGTTGCCGATGGATGAGTTTGACTGCTACAACGAGGCAGCGAGCTCATGCCAAGTGAGTGGTTGCGGAGTCAATTTTTATTCCCTGCACATACGTATCAGGTAGGTGGGTATTGGGTGGTTTCTTTTGGTTCTCTTTTAAACCACCTTAAAAAAGGTACCCTGCAAAACATCCCCCCATGTGCATATGCACACACACACACACACAAAGGTGTATGTGCTGCAATTGTGACGGGAACTGTAACGGTTTGACAAGCAATGACTCAATGACCGATCATGCCATGTAGCCACGTTGGGCCCAGATGCTGACAAGTGGCCACGCGCTTGCCATGGGAATCCGCATGGACTAAGCGTCCTTTTGGCTCCTTGTTGGCATCCCCGTGACTGTGTGCATGATGTGACAGGCCTTTGTGGGCATTGTCCGCTGATAAGGCTTGCCAAATTTACTGGTCGTCCATTTCCATTTTGCCATTTCAGCAGCTTGGATGCACGCCAGCAGCCAGCAGGCGACAAGGATTCCTGGCCTTTTCCCTGAAAGGCTCAAGGGTAGCTAGCCGTGGACCCACCGTGAATGTGGCTTTTGACCGGAGTTCAGGAAGCACATGCTAGTTTCTTGCACGCGCCAGCATGTTGTTTTGGGGGGACTCGTTTGTCACCCAAAGATTTTGCCGACGCAAGCAAAAAAAGGATACAGGCAAGCTAGCAAGAGAGCAAATAATGAAGCACACAAATTAGAACGCACACAAGCACACAAGCTACCAAGAGAACAAGAGAACAAGAGAACAAGAGCAAAAGCAAAAAGGGCGCAAACAACACAAGCAAACAAACCAGGAAGCAAACAAGCAAATCAACTGGAAGGTAGACCAAGCCCAGCCCAGCCCAGCCGTCAGCCCAGCCGCCAGCCCAGCCGCCAGCCCAGCCGCCAGGCCAGCAGCCAGCCCAGCAGCCAGCCCAGCAGCCAGCCCAGCAGCCAGCCCAGCAACCAGCCCAGCAGCCAGCCAGCCAGCCAGCCAGCCAGCCAGCCAGCCAGCCAGCCAGCCAGCCAGCCAGCCAGCCAGCCAGCCAGCCAGCCAGCCAGCCAGCCAGCCAGCCAGCCAAGCAGCCAGCCAGCCCAGCCAGCCAGCCAGCCAGCCAGCCAGCCAGCCAGCCAGCCAGCCAGCCAGCCAGCCAGCCAGCCAGCCAGCCAGCCAGCCAGCCAGCCAGCCAGCCAGCCAGCCAGCCAGCCAGCCAGCCAGCCAGCCAGCCAGCCAGCCAGCCAGCCAGCCAGCCAGCCAGCCAGCCAGCCTAGCAAGCAACTTAGCAAGCAACTTCGCAAGTCATCTAGCAAACCGTGAACCACTCTAACCAAGACGAAAGCCAGACTCTACCTCGGCCAAGCCTAAACCTAAGCCAAATCAACCCTCGACAAACCCTCACCAACTGTACACTCGTCCTAAGGCTCTCTAACCCAACGCTGTTTTTTTTAGTCAACCCCAATCCAGTGTCCATCCTAAACTCCTGAACAACCCCAAACCGTGCCCGAAGCCGACCTGAACTGACCGCCCAAACGCACTCCAAAGCAACCCCAAACGCATCCTAGAGCAAGGGCCGAAGAGGCGGAAAAGTTCCAGAGGCTGCGCTGCCTAAACCTGCCCTTTGAAAATTGATTCCACGGCATTTTGGGCCCCAGCGCTGTAAAGCATCCTATGAACAAAAGCAGGGAGAGGGAGAAGCAACAAGGGAAGCCACCAGGTGGATTGATGAATAGACTCCTACCAGCCCTGCTGTGCATGGGGTCCCTCGCCATGCGGCCGCAGAGTGCATCTTGGCCAAAGCCACTGCACCACGGAGGTAGGCCTTGCAAGGGTGCCCAGTGTTTGTGGCGAGGCTTGTGTACAAGGGTTTTGATGTACTTTTGCGCTTTCGTTTGCCAGGGGGTAAAGGAGATTTGCTTGTCAGATCTGAGAAGGTTCAGCCCCCTCTGGCAGTAGGCAGTCTAGACTTTGCAGACCATTGCAATGAAGCTTCAGCCATGATAAGTAGAAGCTGGTCTGCGCTTTTATGGGCCAGATTTCTTGCTGGCCAGCCTTTTCGATATTGAGCGGGCCATCTTGGGGTGCGGGGGCTTTGGGGGAACTGATGAAGGCCGACTCGCGGGGAGCTATGCCCCGAATGGTTCTTTAATGGCCCCCATGAATCGCCAGTATCAGGCTACAAATGGCAGTTAATCTAAAAACATGTTAACCACATGGGTGTGCATGACTGACGGTGAGCCGGGAGTGCCCAGGAGACGAGAGATCCGGCTGATGCTGAAACCCTCATCGACCCCTCGGATCTTGAGGATCCCACTGCGCCAAAGCTGGCCCCGTTTGAGCTGGATGTGCAGCTCAGATTGCATCTAGGGTGCTGGCGGCTGGCGCTCAACATTCACCCTCCTTCTAACAACCATTGAAGTCGACAGAGGGGTGCCCCAAAAGGAAAGTAGTCTTCCAAACCCTCCTGTCAGCTTCCATGACTGTTGGAGGAAGGTTGCATCTCCGAGAGGTTTTCTGAGATGTGGTGTTGGCTGCGTGGGCGCTTGTCCAACAGTTTGTGCAACGAGGATCATTGACAACGAAGAAGCCACTTGGAGCAAGATATGCACAAAGTCAGCAGCACTGCAAGAGAAGCTGAAATAACTGCTTGCACCCACGCGAGCGGGGACCGGATTCAAGCCAGGCAGTTCTCCAAAAGTACGAGGGACGCGTGCGCACGCCTGAGTGCCTTCAGTTCTTGCACGGTAGGTTTGGACTGCCCAGTTGCGCAGGTTGCATCCATGACGCTTGTCGCATAGTTGCAATCTTGCACTCAGTGCTGGAACTCTGCTCTACGACGTTGTGCCCGAGCAAGACAGCTTGGATAGTGCTGCTTCTGCAGTTGCCGCTGACTTGCAAGAGCGACTCCAGAAGGCAGGCGGCATTTTTTTGCTCTGGAGTCTGCAGGGATGTTATTCAAGGGCTGTGCCCCACACCAGCGGCGCTGGCTTTTTCGGCAGCAAACTCAAAGTGCAAACATGCAGACCTGGCAGAATCGCGATAGACACTAGGTTTGCTGAGCCCATTTCCATTGGTTTTTCGCCCCCGGCATTTTTTTTTTGGGGGGTTCAGCCACTGTGACTTAGGGGATAATCCTAATCAGCACACGGGCACGCAGGCATACACCCAGCGCCCAGCGTCACGCATCCCCAGCATCACCGGCATGACCTGCATCCCCTGCACCAGGAAACTCGACCGATTGCATCCCTCGCAAGCCTGGCACCACCAAAAGCAAGCATTTCCGGATTGCGTGTGTCATCCGCAACCTGGCCTCAAGTATGCATTTGAGCAAATTCCCGCAACATGCGCAGCGGTGCCGTGAAAGACTGACCTTGGCGGCTGCTACTTAGAAACATTTGGAATTCTTTGCAAAAACAACTGAGGGACTTGAGTAGGGACCCTGCGTGTAGTGTCTGTTGGCAGCTTCCCACATGTGATGGGGATGCTTCTGATGCAATCAAACTCTTTCCTTTTTTGCGGTCCCCGCAGGACTTAATGATAGCTGGGGATGGCCTGGTTTGTGTTTGTAATTTTCTTAGCACGCCGGCCGTAGTCAGCTGATATGCAACTTTGGGCCGGACCTCAGGGTCTCGAAGCGACACTTTGGGCAGGAGTTGGGCACTTCATGCGTGATTCAGAAGGAAGGAACTCATGGACTCTTAGGCTGCAACTTGATTCGGTTTGCAACCTTGGCCAAGTGGGTTTGGGCTCTGCGAAGTCGCGAAAGCCAGACAACATCTCAGGTAAAACCGTGAAGCTCGTCATGGAACTTACAGGCTGCGTGGTGGGATTGGCATGCCATGGTGTTGCCGATTGCTGCTGCTGCTGCTGCTGCTGCTGCCGTCGCCCCTTTTGTGTTCGCTCCCATCTGCGGCTGCTGCTGGTTGCGATGTGTTTCCGTTGCCCTTGCATGCGCGGCACTCTTGGCAAGATCCGCAGCGTGACTATGTTTAAACAGCCCGGTCGGCTACTAGACCATGTTCTAAGTGACGTGAAGTAGGGATGCCTGGTGCTGGTGCGCTGCGGAAGGCTACAAGCTGGACAATGTACTGCCGCCAAAGGTCGCCAAGGAGAGCCGAATGCAACGCGTAAAATGCGACTTCTTGGCAACTTGTGGGCACCACCCCACCCCTGGCGGCTTGGTTGTTGGGGGTCGTCCTGAGGGTTCGACCGGCAGGCGCGGCCAGGGGGCGTGCGTTTTGCGATGTAAAGCACAGTGGACGAAGTTCCCGGCTTCAATTCGCGGACTACAGGAATGGAGAAGCATGGCGCTCTCGGCACTATGAACATAGGCATTGCGTGGATGCTCCCTGCGCCAGGATCTTGCTAGCGCCATGTCATCACTGGAAGGAGCAATTCTTGCTGTCGGGGGGGCTGCTTATCTGAATGCAGTAGTTAGCATGCAGCAACTGTCAGAGTGCTGGTTGCAGAAGTTCAGCACAAGGCTTTTTGTTTGGCTTGTGCGAATCGAGGTGCAAAGCGTGCAGCTCGGCCACACATCATTGCTGGTGCTTCTTGCAGGCGCTGGCGCGCAGACACTCAGGTACGATGACGTACTATCGAGACTTAGGTGGCACCGGTCAAAGAACATGTTGACTGTGCGCCAGCTATTTAATTGCTTTTTGTGTTTGTGTGTGTGTGTGTGTGTTTGTGCTCGTGTGTGCCTTTGCCGTGTGTCTCTCTCTCTCTCTGTGCTCGTCTTCTGGTATCACACGATCAGCTGATGTGAGTGTCGCTGCCTGCAAGGAAAGTCAAGGCTTTCTTGAAAGCCAAATGGGAAGAGAAGATCCCACGGCTTGTGCAGGGAAAGCTTTTGGAGAATCAGGTTGAAGCAAATGTGGTGGCCGCTTGGCAATAGCTAGGCCCCTAGGCGAGCCAAGGATGTGTCATTTTGAGCCAGGCAAGACCATGCAATTTGAAGGCGCGAGACACACCGCAGCCAACCACCCCATGCCAGATATGCACCCAGGTATCACCTGCGCCTGTCCCACTGCCACCGGTTGCAGTGCATGAGCCCACAACACCCTTCGAGACCTACCTTCGCGCAGCCCAGCCGCGCTTTCGCATGTTTTTCCAAGCTCAATGGGCAAGTCCTACGTTGGCTTCACACCTTCGGGGGACCTTGATCTTTTTCTTCTGCCAGGAGGCTCTTTGCACAGGCCCCAAACACACCCAGCGCAAGGTTGAGATCGCCGACCGCCTGCCGTTGGCCCGTTCTGTGAATTCCAGCCTGCAAGCTGCAGACTTGCAGAACTTGACCCAGTCCAAGTATTTGGCCTTGATCAAGCCAAAGCTGGAGGATCCTGGGAGCTGATGAATCCTTGCAATCTTTGTCCCTGTTTCGGGATGGCATAGCGGCATAGCCCTGTCTTTGACTCTCCGAGCGTGCAGTTGCTAGGGGTTAGGGGGGCAGGGGGGCGGGGGGTCTGAACGAATGAATTGACCTGATGCGATTTTGGCAGGAGAAGGTCGCAAGAGCTATACGGGCAGCCTGGCGATTGCTGTGCATGATTGCTTGTGCACGGTCCGTTGGCTTTTCTCGGTCAAAGGAACAGCTCGGAGATGCTTTCCCGTTCCAAGCAGCCGCGGAGAGTGGCGCTCCGAGCTGTGTGCTTGTGACTCATGGGTTCTCGATTCAATGTCTTGCAGAGTGGAGGGCCTTCAGGTGATTCTGACTTCGGCCAGCAATCTCGGCACAGCTTTTGGCTCGGGATCAGAGTCTTCAACTTTGAGGAGATGGCGGCATTGAGGAAGGTCAGGGGCGAGACCTTCGCAGGCCGGGGGTCACGCCCAGCTTTGGGATGTGGGCGCCCGATGTTCCAGGCAACGTGCAGCGGCTCTTTGATTTGCTGGATTCATTGCGAAGTTGTGCGGCGGCGGCATTCAGTCAACAAACTTGGACTGCGTGGATCTCTGGGCCTGAGGTGGTGTTCCCGAGCTCGCCCTCGCCTGAGGTTTATTCTAGAGTTTCCGCCTCAGCGCAAGTGACCTTGCACACTCATGCGCAGCACTAGGATGGGGCAGACGAGACCATCCACAGTTCTCTTCGACATGGTCCGCTACGAGCCTTGCATGCAGGCACAAAGTAAGTGCTTGGCATCGGGCAAACGGATCTGTTTTACCTGGAAACCTGAAAAAACAGCTGACATGACCCGGAGGCTTCGAGCAGAAGATCCGCAATCTCCTGGGTGTAGAGCTCCAGGTGGGGTTGCACGTCCAAGGGGCTTCGAGTTTGTGGTGCGTTTGTGCGGGGCCTCGAGGCCGTCAGCGCCGCTATCCATGGAAACTTGCAGAAGTTGGCAACAGAGGGCGTGTGCTGCAGAAGTGAAAGGAGGTCCAGAGGGGGCGTGAAGCCGGATGAGGTGCCTCGATGACTCGATTCCTTGTGTCCGGATTTAGAGTTGTGGCAGGTCTTCTGGGTGACCGCCGAAGTGAGTGATGGAGACACGGACAGCACGCATAACGGCTACTGCCCTTCTATCCTAGCCTCTTGGTTCGAAGCGGGTATTCACATGGCAGCAAGAGTGTAGCTGCACGCCCCAATATTCTACATACCGCAAAAGCATCTCAGTAGAACAAGGTTCCAGTATTATGGGTTTAAGGGGCACTAAATCAAGGTGCATGTGCCCCGTTTCCCTGAAACTAGTGGTTGGGGGTAATGGAGACCATCTTAGATCTGTTTTTCTCACCTCAGCACATCCGCATTTGCGGCTCTTGTTGGTGTGATTGATTTCCCATTGGAAAGAAAGGAGACATAAACTGTGGCTTGTGGCAGGGCAGTCTCTTCCCGCTGATGGTGGAAATCAAAATCAGATCACGTGTGAATATAATTGCTCCTCTGGTGCCCTGTAATGGTTTGTTGCCTTTATTGCATTAAATGTCAATCCAAAAGGATCCTTATTGGAGCGCAGCTGCGGGGCACGGGCTCTCAGGTGACTCTCAACCCGCCATGTGTGTCAGAACCGAGCTCCAGAGTGGGCGTCGTGGCATTGCACCACAGGCCATACACAGTAGCTTGGCTGAAGTAGCACATTTTGACCTTGGAAATCCGTCACGGCAAGGAATGCTTCAACATGGCGGCGCTCCAGGATTTCCGAAAGGTGGGAGCTGCATCGAGCTTTGAAGCCATTGCCTCGGTGCCAGGCGGTGGAGAGGACGGCGCCCTTGGTATCAACCACCTGCTAGGCTGCAAAACTCAGCTTCGCATTTGAGTGTCGAAAGGCTGCCTGTCCATAAGCGCTCGTTGAGCCAACTTGCTGCTTTTGTTGCCAGGCATGCTGCAATCTGGCGAGTGTGCGAAGGGATGTAGCTGGAAAGCAGTGAAAAAGCCGTTGGCAGATGCAGATCTTGGATGGAGAAGCACGTTTGTTTGCTTGTGTGCGTGCACCGGGCATTGGGCAATTCTTCAGCCAGGCGTTCATAGCTGCCAATGGTATCCCTGTCAACTGCCAGATGCCCAGCTTGGGCGATGCGGGCCAGATACGGAAACACTACATGCTCCCGGAGAGCTGTTGGTTTGGGCATAGGGCGTGCTACACACGTCTAGCAATCGTCGTGTTACACTGAGAGAGCGAGGGGGAGAGAGCCGGCCCCGTTTGCCAGGGACGCGCCACTGGTTCTTTCAGCTCAGGGACCCGCAGGCATGGGGCCTTGATGGGCCTTGCAGTCCGTCCACAGTGCTGTTGACTCTCTTTGGGGTTGTCGCAACATAGTGAACCGTACAAGGTGTCCCAAAGTGCTTATTTTCCATCGTCTTCCCATTCAAGCCACAAGTCAAAAAGGCTCAAAAGACATTCTCAGGTGGGGCTGCCAGAGATTTGGAACTTCTTCATCAGCTGGATGCAGGTGGTTGCCCTAGTTCTGAACAGGGGGTGGAATGCGAGGGGTGGGGCGTGGGGCTTGGGGCATGGGGGTTTCGTTGGACCCATCCCCAGCTCAGTCGATTGTCTGCAGCTGCAGGTGATGAGTGAACACAGTTTAACACCAAATGACCTTGGAAGTCAAATTTGCGGGTTCGCGATACCGTGCAGCCATCTGAAGATGTAAGCCATGACATCTGAACGAGGGATGCTGAAAGCTGCAACATGCCAACTGCAATCACATGGTTATTGCCTTGTGCGCATACGGGGGCAACTTGGATTCTTCATTCTGACTGACCGACGTCGAGGATGTTGCAAGGCAACCGGACTGCAAGGCTTCTCCGTCCCCCAAACCGCCTAAACATGATGATCACGACGCAATATTGCTGGTTCGACCGCGTCAGCGGAAGCGCAATGTTGGATTTGAGCTTGCCTGAGGTGAATGCTCCTAGGCTCTTTGCCTTTTCTTTGCGGGTCTGAGGGGCCACTGGAGGCAGCTGGAAAACGGCCGCTATCAGCGTACACCGTGCCACAACATGGTCTCCACGCAAGCATGGTGTCGCCAAGCATCCAAAGGTTTCTCAGGCTCCCCAGGACAGGTTTGTTCACGACCGTGTACTTGCCTCAAAGCACCGCCAGTTTGTGAACACACGCTATATCAGCGCGCCACTAGTGGGGACATTGGCCGCATGGTCCGCACGATCAGGCTGCAGTGTTGCATATCATTCGTGTGTCACGCCTGCAGTCCTGGTTGTGTAGGCCAGTCTCTTCAAGCCCCTTGGGCTTCCTTGCGCAGGTGCGGTTTCGAGTTTTCTTGGGTTGGATGGTGCCAACGCGTGAGGCCTTCTCAACGGGAAAGTTCTGGAAGCGCAGTGTGGCACTGTGCCATGGCCTTAGGCCAGCTGTGGCGGGTCCGTAGCGTAAAGAGTGGTCGGATGCCAGCCAATGCAGTGCGGTGAAGCACGGCTGCGCATTTGGGTGCGCTGCATGAGTCTCTACCGTTTCGATTGTACAGGCCCGCGCCTCTTCCCCAAACAGTGTGCAACACCAAGGGGTTCCTAGGGGAAGACTTCCGCGCGAAACGTGGCTGTTATCGCAAAGAGTTGTCTTTGATGCGAGAGTCTCGGACTGGTCTCTCGCTGTGCCGATGTACCGCATGACATTGCATTTTGATTGCCGCTATGTTGAACTTTTGGGTAGGAATCGCACCAAGAGCTCTTTGCAACACCAAATGCCGTTTTGATGCCAACTTGTCGGGTGGGGACATGACATTCAGACAGAAACCCGTGGCAGTTGTCGAACAGAAATGTTTGGAATCCGACAGTCTCGCACGAAACATTCATTTTTTGAGAACTGGGATCGCGTTGTGACGCCGTGCCGGTTTTCGGACTTGTGGGTTGACGGTTGGCGGCACGTCCTCATAACGGCTTGGTCTAGGGGCCTGTCTCTATCTTACATCTCTTTGCATCTCCTTCAATGATAGGTCTGGAACACGAAGAGGTGGGACAAGGAACAGGCAATTTTTCCCCAACCAATCCTTGCACAACACGTGAGCATGGTTGGTTGGGAAGGGCCTACGTGAGTCGCAAAGCATGACTATCGCCATCGCAGCCATAGCGGCTGAGAGGTCACCCGCCCATCCCTGAAAGATATTTTTTAAAGGGGGATGCTGTGGGACTGGAGAGATCCCTCCCTGGCCACCTTGACTTGGTGGACCAGGGAGGCTTTGCATCAAGGGGCAAAGGACTACAAGGGATTGAGCCCCTTCAGCTTTCACCTTGCACGGAAAAGATGGCGAGTGCTGAGCAGATTCCTTGTCACATATGCTCGATGAGTGCTTTGTCCCTTTCGTCGAGTATTGTCTGAGATGGGGATGATGGGAACAGGGAATGAGAGAAGCCCAATTGCAATTCTTTTTCTATTACCAGGCTTTTCTTTTGATGGGTAGTGGGGCATCTCTCTTTGCTCGCTTCCTCGTGCACGTTTAATAGACAAGATGTAGAGGTGGACGCATATAGGGAAATAAAGGGGGAGAAGATAGATGGAATAAAGAAAAATGAAAGGTAAAGGAGCATACACTTCAATAGCAAGTACGTAGAAAGGAGACCGACGAAAAGCATCACATAAAATGAGAAATCAGAGTGGCGATCCGGAGGTCGCTGCCAATTTCGTGATTCGGGATTTAATCACATTTCGGGAAACATCCCATTTTCGGGATTCGGGATCCGGGATTCGGGCCTCGAATCACATTTTCGGGATTCGGGATTCGAGCCTCGAATCACATTTTTCGGGATTCGGGATCCGGGATTCGGGCCTCGAATCACATTTTCGGGATTCGGGATTCGAGCCTCGAATCACATTTTTCGGGATTTGGGATTCGGGATTCGGGCCTCGCACATTTTCGGGATTCGTGATTCGGGATTCGGGCCTCGAATCACATTTTTCGGGATTTGGGATTCGGGATTCGGGCCTCGAATTACATTTTGGGGATTCGGCCTGGATCTTTGTTTGGCATGTTTTTTCTGTTCCCACCTCCAAACGGATGCTTTTTCAGCAAAACGGCAATTTTTGAGTCAACGCACGCTTTTCTGGAAACTAGCGATTGTTTTTTTTTGGACCTTGTGCACAAAGGTGTGAAACAGCAAGATCGCGGCCAAACAGCTAGGCCGCACAACGGGCGCAATTCCCCACACAATTCGCGCAAACGGGCGCAATTTCAAGAAGCGTACTTTTTAGCTGTCCCTCTTCCTTTCAGTATTGATGATCACTTGTTGAGCAAACGGCATGGTTTGCACGACACGGACGGATGTATTTCCGGCAGAAAAAACGTGCAGCTAAAGGGGATTCGGGATTCGGGATTCGGGATGCGGGCCTCCAATCTCGGAATTCGGGATTCGAGATTCGGGATTCGGGATTCGGGCCTCGAATCACATTTTCCGGATTCAGGATTCGGGCCTCGATTCACATTTTCGGGATTCAGTCGGGATTCGGGCCTCGAATCTTATTTTCGGGATTCGGGATTCGGGCCTCGAATCACATTTTCCGGACTCGGGACTGGGTCACGACTGCACAAGAACGACGAAAAACGTCGGGCTTCGCCAATCATAGGCGGGGGGGTTGGGGGGGGGCAGCCCCCCATGATAGAACACAACTGAACAAGAACGACGAGAAACGCCGGGCTTCGCCAAACAAAGGCGGGGGGGTTGTGGGAGGGCGCAACCGCCCCATGATAGAACACGACTGCACAAGAACGACGAAAAAAGTCGGGCTTCGCAAATCATAGGCGGGGCTGTGGGGGGCGGGGTGGGGGGGGGGGGGCGGTGGCAGGGAACAATGCGTATAATGTGAACCGGCTCCTTTTTCAGCACTTGCCACTTGATCTGCGCGAAAAAAGGGATAGCAGCGTCGCAGATTTGCACGGTCAGGTCAATCCAGAAACTAATTCCAATTCAACATTTTTTATAATCTATTTTAGCGTATCTCATATTTAATTATCTTTCTCAGCTCTTGGTGTTTCTCTTGCCTTGCGATTTTTGATGTCATGGACTTCAGAAGTCTTATCAATGGAGCAAAGTACACACAAGTGATTAATAGGTGATACAGAAATGACCAAGACTTGGTACTGTAGATTACAATAATCAATTCATAATTGGGTCTAGAGAGTCTATAGACAGGAAATGCCTACCAATAAGATCTCAAGGAAGGGTGGGCTAAGGAATCTCCATTGCTTATTTCTCCCCCCTTCTTGTTTCCCTCTATCACCCCAACTCTTTTTCTCGGAAGCAGAGGTTGGGTGATGGGAGGTAGCGAGGGAGAGAAGGGCGAGAGAGAGAGGAAAAAACTCATTGCTTGGCCATCTCACGGCCCCATCCCCTCACCTCATTTTCATTGGCTGGGAGATGGATGAGGATGGTAAAAGATATTCTTGGAAAGTGAAGATATGCAAAGAAAAAAAGGCGAGAGGGGAGGATGGCTGTCTGGCCTCATGATTCAAGCCTCTATCTTACCACCTTACCACCACCCTTTCTCCCCTTCATTTCTATTCCTCACCACCTACAGCTTCCTTGAAGCTGAGATGGAGGTGGGGGCGGGGAAAGAGATGAGAGAGTGGGCAAGGAGATGGATGGCCATCCAACCATTCTGTTTCCTTAGTCATCTGGGTTCTTCATTCTAATTCTCTTTCCTATCTCTTTCCTAGCCGTTTCAACGGTGAGAATGGAAAGGAGAAAAGAAAATCTTTCCAGCAGTTACAAATGAATTCCTCTTTCTTCACCTCTTTTCAGCTTCTCTTTCCCAACCTCTTGCCCAGGTATAAGTTTCTTTGGG